TGGATGTCAGAAGAGACTCTGAAACTTGTTCTTGAAGGTAGAGTAGCTAAAACAAATTAAAGAAATGCTGAAATGAAAGAATCAAAGAGAAGATTCAAAGGGCAGTTCAAAAAGACAAAGTAAAGTGTTATAATGAAATGTGCAAAGACCTGGAGTTAGAAAACCAAAAGGGAAGAACACACTCAGCATTTCTCAAGCAGAAAAACTTGAAGAAAAAATTCAAGCCTTGAGTTGCAATATTGAAAGATTCAATGGGCAAAATATAGAATGATGCAGGAAGCATGAAAAGAAGACAAAAGAATTACATAGTCACTGTATCAAAAAGAATTGATTGATGTCCAACTATTTCAGGAGGTAGCATATGATCAAGAACCAATGGTACTAAAGGAGGATATCCAAGGAATTGGTGAAAAACAAGTCTCCAAGAACTGACAGAATACCCATTGAGATATTTCAACAAATGGATGCAGCACTGGAGGCACTTACTTGTTTATGCCAAGAAATTTGGAAGACAGCTACCTGGCCAACTGATGGAGGAGATTGATATTGGTGCCCAGTCCAAAGAAATGCAATCCCACAAAATGTGGAAATTATCAAACATCATCATTAATAACACACCCAAGTAAAATCTTGCTGAAGATAATTCAAAAACAGTTGCAGCAATTTATTGACAGGGAAATTCAGAAATGCAGCCTGGATTCAGAAAAGGACATGGAATGAGAGATATCATTGCTGATGTCAGATGGATCTTGGCTGAAAGCAAAGAATGCCAGAAAGATGCTTACTTTTACATAGTTCTATTGACTATGCCAAGACATACAACTGTGTGGATCATAACAAATTATGTATAACATTGCAAAGAATGGGAATTCCAGAAAACTTAATTGTGCTCATGAGGAACCTGTACTAGACCAGGAGGCTATAATTCAAACAGAGCAAGGGAATAGTGCATGGTTTAAAATTAGGAAAGGAGGGTGTTAGTGTTGTATACTTTCACCATACTTATTCAATCTGTATGCTGAGCAAATAATTCAAGACGATGGACTATGTGATGAAGAATGTGGCATCAAGATTGGAGAAAGACTCATTAACAACTTGGGGCATGCAGATGACACAACCTTGCTTGCTGAAAGTGAAGATGCCTTGAAACACTCACTGATGAAGATTAAAGACTACATCTGCAGTTCGGATTATACCTCAACATAAAGAAAGTGAAAATCCTCACAACTGAACCAATAAGCAGCATCACGATAAATGGAGAAAAGATTGAAGCTGTGAAAAATTGCATATTACTTGGATCCACAATCAACACCCATTGAAGTAGTAGTCAAGAAATCAGACAACATACTGCACTGGGCAAATCTGCTGCAAAAGACCTCCTTAAAGTGCAGAAAAGCCAAGATGTCTCTTTGAAGACTAAGGTGCGCCTACCCGAGCCATGGTATTTTCAATCACCTCATATGCATGTGAAAGCTGGACAGTGAATAAGGAAGACTGAAGAAGAGTTGATGCTTTTGAGTTGTGATGTTGGCAAATACTTAAAGTACCATGGACTGCTAGAAGAATGAACAAATCTGTCCTGAAGAAGTGCAGCTGGAATGATCCTTGGAAGCAGAATGGCCAGACTTGGTCTCACCTACTTTGGTCACGTTGTCAGAAGGGACCAATTCCTGGAGAAGGATAATATGCTTGGTAAAGTGGAGGGTCAGCAAAAAAGGGGAAGACCCTAACAAGATGGATTGACACATTGCCTGCAGTGATGGTGTGGTGGTTAAGTTTGTGTGTCAACTTGGCTAGGCCTGACTGAGTGGCTGGGCAGCTTGATGTAGTATTCCTCATGATGAGACTGGTAATCAACTCCATGGTGGAATCTATTGTGAGTAGCTAAGTAACTGCCTTAGGGATGTGGTCTGCTTCCTGTACACAAGGAGAAGCCTTGGGGAATGGTCTCTAGCATATGGTATGCTTGAATGCTGTATGTAGCCATGTCGTTGTTCAGCAGCCTGCCATGCTCTGCCAACCTTGGGACTTTCAATGGACTTGAATTAATGGCCTGCTGTGTGGTTTGGTAATATTGAGACTATGCCTTTTTACTTATCAACCTTGGGCTTGTCAGCCTTAGCAGCCAGTAGCTGCCTGAGTGAAGAGGTGCCTCTAGCTTCAGTGTCAGGAGCAGGAGGCAGACCTGAAATCCAAGGTAAAGGGCTTTCTCACAGCCCCTAAAAAAAAAAAAAAAAAAAACACTGCTGTCGAGTCGGACCTGACTCATAGCGACCCCTCCTTGGGTTTCTGAGGCAGTATCACTATGGAAGTGGATTGCCCAACCTTCCTTCCGAGGAGTGGTTGGTGGGTTTGAACCCCCAGCCTTCTGGTTAGCAGTCAAATGCCTTAGGCACTATGCTACCAAAGCCTGGCATTTTGAACTTGGACGTCTAGCCTCCTGAACTGTAAGAGAACAAACTCCTGTTTGTTCAAGCCATCTCATTTGTGGTATATTCTTGTCAGAGAGGCACTAGGTAACCAGAACAGATGGGCTCAGCTATGATGAGAATTGTGAGGCTGGCGCAGGACCAGGCACTGTTTTGTTCTGTTGTACGTAGGATCGCTGTGAGTCAGAGCTGACTGAAAGGCACCTACTAACAACAATACAATTTTGGTCATGTTGTCAGAAGGGATTATTCCCTGGAGAAGGATATCATGCTTGGTAAAGTAAAAGGTCAGCAAAGAAGGGGAGGAGGACCCTTAACAAGACTGATTGACACAGTGGCTGCAATGATGGGCTCAAGCATGTCAAGGACTGTGGGCAGTATTTCATCTGTTGTACATAGGGTCACTATGAGTCGAAACCAACTCAATGGCACTTAACAACAACAACAGGTTCCAGAGGTGAAGACAAGGAGGCACCAAAGATCAAAAATTCCAGAAAAAGCTGCCATCAGCTCGGGTCAGACAACTTCCTTGGGACTTACTGAGAGATATATGAGCCGGTCCTGCTATTCTCAGCTATCAACCCAGCCTTTTACCATCCCATTTTCTAAAAGAAGCCTGGAATTTGGGTGGTGGAAGAGAGGGAAATTGCAGGAGTTCTGAGTCACCACATGTAACATATGGAGTCTCCATAAGATAGAATCGACTTGATGGCAATTTTTTGTTTGTTTTGGGTGTTTTCTTTTGGGGGGGCCACGGAAAGTGCTCCCATATTATGGTCTTTAGGGATGCTCCTTGAGTCTCTAGCCTCATCTCCTCTCATTGTCCCAATTCTCATTATGGACAAGCCAGACAGACCTTCCTCAAACACACCAAGCTCCTTCTCACCACAGGAAGTTTGCACTTAGAATTCACCTGGAATGTTCTTCAAAGCACATCTTGACAGAGCTAGAGAACTCTCCTCACTCAGGATCTGCATGATGGCATCTGTTTGGGAAGTTTCGTCTCCGATCTATGGTACTTCATTAGCTCCTCTCTTCACTGAGTTACTCTCTATTTCATCACACTGTCTTATTTTTTAGGAACATTTACTTATTATTGTCTGGAATTGCTTTCTTTGATGATTTGTTATTGCCTGTCATCTCCCATAGGGCAAGATGGTATCTCTTTTTGCCCACCCCTGTAACCTCAGATCCTAGAATAGTGCCTGGCACATAGTAAGGGTTCAATAAGTGTATGTTGAATACATGGCAGATTAGAACAAAGCACAGAGAGTTGTGACTTTGAATCCCAGCTCTGCCACAGTTAGCTCTGTGATACTGAATAATCTCACTTTCTTCACTTACAAAATGGTGACAATCATGCCCAAGAAGATCAAATCAGATGATGTCTGTAAAAGAACTCTAATAACCCTAAGATGCGACATGATTACTATTCATTACTATTATTCTTATTAACTGTGATGCTAGCAGATTTGCTTCCAAATGGTGGCCACCCAGAGGGCTGGAAGGATGAAGGGCAGGGAGGATGCCCCCACCCACCCCAGGTCCACTCACCTGGAGATACTTCCAGCTGAAAGCCCATCAAGGGGTAGAGGACCTGGGAGCTGTTCCTCATGCACCAGTATCGGCCAGAGTCCTGGCGCCGGAGGGCTGCCATGGTGATGGTGACCACCTTGGCCTGGGCATCGTCCTGCAGCAGGTAGTGGGGCTCCTGTGCCCAGACCCGGGTGAACCTAGCGTCACATTTGTTTTTCCTGACTTTGCACCAAACCTTGCCCTCCACGCGATTTTTGCGATTCTTGTAGTGGCACTGCACAGACAACGTCTCCCCCTCCAGGCGCTGCACTTTGGTGTACACACTATGGGCCGGGGGACCTGGGGAGACACGCCTTGTTGAGCAAGGTCTGGCAAGAGAGGAGGAAGGAGGCATCTTGAAACCCAAAACTGGTGGTCAAAGAGGAGGGCACTGATATTGCCCTGCTGTTGACCAGATCACACTCTGATGGGGAGACACAGCTTTGCCCTCAGGGAGCCCCAGTCTGAGGGGAGACATAGTCTTACCCTCAGGGAGCCCCCAGTTTGTTGGAGGAGACCCAGCCCCTGCCTCCTGAGAGTTCTCTGACTGATGGGGAAGACAATAGTCCTGCAACTTTGTGGAGTCCTAGACTGATGAGAGAGAAATGGGGCTTGCCCTTAGGGAGCCCCCAGTTTGATGGTGGAGACACAGGCGTAGCCCTCAGAGATCCCCCAGTCTAAAGGAGGAAACAAATACCTTACATTCAGGAAGCCCATCAGACACAGCCCCTTTCCTCATGGGATTGTCTAGTCTGATGGGACAGTGATAAGCCCCAGTGTCAGGGATTCCCAGCCTTGTGGGAAAGATATAAGTCCTGCCTTCAATGGGACACGTGCAGTGCACAAGTCATTAAGTTATGAAATTTCAGAGCTCAAATACTTTAGGTGCTCTAGAAAATAAGAAAATCCAATTATTTGAAAAAATGAAGACTGGTTATGAAAATCACAAACAGATTCACAATTGTTGTTGTTAGGGGTCATCAAGTTGATTTTGACTCATAGTGACCCTATGTGACAGAGTAGGACACATAGGATTTTATAGGAGCTCTGGTGGTGTAGTGGATGAGGCATTTGGCTGCTAACCAGAAGGGCAGTGGTTCAAATCCACCAGCTGCTCCATGGAATAAAGATGGGGTGATCTACTTCTATAAAGAAACCCAATGGGGGTTGCTATGAGTCAGAATCAACTCGATAGCAGTGAGTTTGGTTTTGGTTTTGGAGTTTTTACAGAGTGAGCCCTGGTAGGGCAATAGTTAAAGAACTTGTCTGCTAACCAAAAGGCTCTATGAGAGAAAAGTACTGGCAAACTGCTCCGTAAAGTTTACAGCTTTGGAAACCCTATGGGGCAGTTTCTACACTATCTTAAAGGGTTGCTGTGAGTCAGAATCCACTCAACAGCAATGCATTTTTTGTTTTTTGGGTGTTTTTTAGTTTTCTTTGAATACTTACGGAATCAACTCCAAGGCACACAACAACCATCTTTTCGAAAGCAGGTCTTTCTCTCGCAGAGTCACTGGGTGAGTTCCAACCATCAATATTTCATTTAGCAGCTGAGCACTTAACTGTTGAGCTACCAGGACTACTAGGTTCATGGTAGTGGGCATTTAAATAGTAAGCCACCTTAGTTCATTCTAAGGAGCTGTGCTGGTACAATGGCTAAGGCATTCGGCTGCTATGAGTGGGAATCAACTTGATGGCAATGGGTTAGTTCATTCTAAGCGCCCCCCCACACACACACACACAAATAAAAAAAAGCCAAACCCCTTGCTGTCAAGACGATCCAACTCATAGTGACCCTGTAGGACAGAGAAGAACTGTCCCATAGGGTTTCCAAGGCTGTAAACCTTTCCGGAAGTGAACTGCTTCATCTTTCTCACATGGGAGCAGTTGGTGGGTTCAAACCACAGATCTTTTTGGTTAGCAGCCAAGTGTTTTACCACTGTGCCACCAGGGATCCCTTAGTTCATTCTAAATGGTATTTAATTTGAAATACTCTAGTTACACAAAACCCACAGATGAAGCATGTCTGAAGATACATATAGGAGCTCTGGTGGCATTTGACTGCTAACCCGAAGACTGGCAGTTCAAACTCACCAGCCATTCCTTGGAAGGAAGACTGGGCAATCTACTTCCATAGTGAGGCTGCCTTGGCAACCCAAGGAGGGGTCGCAATGAGTTGGATCTGACTTGACAGCAGTGGCACAAACCAAAAGGTTCCACAACTGTTCACTGTTCATCTACAATGTGCTGCAGTGGTGAGTAAGATGTAGTCCATGCCCCTCGTAAGCTGCAGTGTGGTGAGAAGAAAGCAGAACTAGGAAGGGTGAAGTTGAGGACAGGGAGAGAGAGGGAAAGCTATGGTGCAATTCCTCCACTCTCTGTCTGCCACTAGCTCAGCACTTAATCCTCTAACAGGCTACCCCATAACCCCCTGCTAACAAAAAGGAGTTTCTCCCCTGTAGGAATGAATGGAAAGAGCATGCCCCTTGGAGAAAGAATAAACATGGGTTACAAACCTAGTTCTACTACTCAGCTCTCTGAGTATGTTTTTTTTTAATCTGTCAATTGGGAATAATATTACCTCCTTCACAAATCGGCTGTGAGAATCATACACCAGGACAATGCCTAGAACAGAGTAGGTGCTCAATGCATGCATTTCCTTTTCCCAAATATAGGTTGCTCCAGCCTTCTCAATTGAGCTGAGCTCTGTGACAGTCAAAGGCTGGGCATCCAGTCCATCTGCCAGCTTCCAACCCAGCCTTTGTTACCATGGAGGTTTTGCGTGTGGTAACATCCTCTCAGAGCACCACTTTGCTCCTTCCAAACTAAACCAAAGGACCCAACTCAATTATTGTCAGATTTCTCAGCACAGGGGAGATATCCAGGGAGGTAACTCTCTGGGGTTCCTCTAGGAGAGGTAATAGGTGGGGTGATGTTGGAAAGGATCTCCAGGTCACTGTGCTCATTTGTGCCTATATCTTCAACCCCTCACAGAGAGGGTGGGGAGGGGGTTTTTCTAACCCTCACCATGCCCAGAGCTGAACAGGAAGTGGTAACTTGGTTGCCGTGGCAGCAAGGGCCCAGTACTGGGTGAGGCCCCCCTTTGGGCGTATCAGTAGCTGTGGGATGGGAGTGGCCTTCAGGGATTGGTTCCTGTCAGGACAGGGGGCAGGGGCAGGGGCAGGATATAGCGTCAGCATTCTGAGAAAAAGGGAGTTCAAAGCCCACATGGATGATGCAATGACTGTTGTCGGAACCAAACTGAGCTTTCCCGGCAGAGGCCAAGCAAAGAAGATTTTGTTGTATGAGGAAATGGAGTGTCCCTGGTTTTAAACCCTAAGGAAATCTAGCCAATAAAGGGGCCAATGCAGAGAGGGTCCAGAGCATTATCTTAGCCCAGGGTTAGCTTTGCTGGGGGCCAGATACTAGGATGTACCCTTCTCACTGGGCTCTGATGAAGAGCTACTAGGTTAGCCCCAAAATCCTCCTCCTCCTCTTCTGACCCCAGAAAACATTAAACAATATAACTGGGTGAGGAAAAGCAGGGATGGAGGGTACAGGAAGAGGC